TGTGTATGTATTAGGCATATGACTGTATCCATATCCCTAACTTAAATACCTGTATATCTATAATTACATGTTCCTACAGTGGGAAGCCCGGCCAGCCGAGGCGGGCGCGCGCTAGCGTTTACAATTTTTTACTGTAGGAATTTCAAGGCCCCACACTTTGGGCCCTGGTGCGCTCTGCGGGGCATCTTGGGGGACAGTCCCAGCCAGCCATCCCCCGAAACTCTGAACGCCCAACCCTGAACCGCAAACCCTGAACCAGGTACAAGTTTGTGGGCCGAGGTTGCCTGATCCACACTTCCGTCATTGTTAGTGTCAAGGCCTGGTGAGTGTTTAAGGCTTGCAGTTTAAGGTTTAGGGATTAGGCGGGATTAGGGTTCAGGGTTTGAGTGTCTAAAGTTTGCAGTTTGGGGGTAGGGAGCTTAGGGTTCAAGGTGTAGGGGGGCTAGGGGATTTAGGGTTAAGGGCGTACGGGAGTGCGCTGAGAACCCGTGTTGTCGCCTTGCGTGCCCGGCAAACTCTGTTACATGCCCCTTGAAATACCTGCTTCTGTAACGGCCAGGTTTGGGCACGCTCTCTGTTACATATACCTTATGTAACAGGGCCTGTGACGGGTATGGGACCCGGAGCTTGGTCACAAGCCAATCATGTTGGCAAGAACCCATATGAGCTGTAGTCTAAACTCCTAGTATCCCCCTTTATAACCCTTATAGTAGCTCCCTATATAATCCCCTATATAAGCCCCCTTTAAGGAGTTTTGACTGAAGTACATATGGCGTTTGAGGTTCAGGGTTTAGCGTCCGGGGCTTCATTTCCCAATAGGGCTATTTTTGCTTAATGTCTATCTGGGGGGGATGGAAGTGTCAAATTCCCCTTATTGCAACCCATGCTGCTTCTAGTGTGGACTGGTTAAGGAATGCTACGAGCGGTAAAGCCCCAATTAGAGCTCCCACAAGTCCCCTAAGTATGGCTACATTGGGTTACAACTGCAGCAAGAAGTAGGAAACCCTCAACCCAAAGCCGTAAACCTCAACCCTACACCCTTAACCGCCCAAACCCTTTATGCAGGGTTCTAGGATTCTTGGCATGGGTACCTAATGTGGAGGCTTTACCCTGCAACCGTCATGGCCTCTTGCTGTTTAGGGTTTAAGGTTTAGGGTCTGGGGTTTATGATTCAGGTTAGGGGTTGGGGTTAGGGGGCTGGGGGCATGAATAAAGCCACTGTTTCAGGTGTTTACCAGGGGTTGCATACGGCTTATGATAAGGATCCACTCCCCCACTCTCACTTAACCTCGGTAAGCACAATTCACACGAGGGGAGTTTCCAAATGAGGGCGTACATAAGGTTATGGAGAGCTATCTGAAGGCTATCTAAAGCTTATGTAAGGCCTCTCTTGGGAGCTCCTATCCTGTAGTTGCTGTAGATCGAATCAAAAACATGGCTGAGGGCCCACAACCCGAAATGGTATGGGACGCAGGATATAACAAGTAGGGATGCAAAAAAGCAGTTATCCTAGCTTCGGACCACTGAGACCGAGAATCATACCATCTCAATCTCTACTTGTGTTTTGGAAACAGCGAACTCGTACATGAGATGTGGCCTGACCAGCACTACACCCTAAACACTGAAGCCTTCACCTACCGGTGCCTGAATCTACGAGGTATTCAGCATCCTCACCCTAAAATGGCCCTCCGAAAGAGAATTACACGAGAAATTTGGCATACCCTGAATTTATTGCAGGGGTTTGCTCCTAGGGCAGTTTAGATTGAAGGGGAAGAGCATGGGGCATCCACATTTTTGGGGTGTTCTGTGTTGCCGTATTTAAACTAAGCTTTTTCGTGCCTATAACAAAAGGAAGCCTTACCAGAAAACATGTGAAGTGCGAAGACAATAGTAAGTCTCTGTCCCTAAGCCCTGAACCCTAGATGCTTCCGATCAGGCCCAGCGACGGGTGAAGAGGGCCTTTGCAGATGCTTCGTCCGCACCCTGTCGGCTGTCAAGAGCAAAATGACTTTTTAGTTTTTAGGTTTTGTGGGTTTAGACATGAAGATTCCCTCAGGCTTAGGGCTGTACCTTTAAGATGTTAAGATTGCACCTCCCCCGACATGACATCGAATCTCCAAAAGGACCCTCTAAAGAGTAAGATATCATTCCTTCGAGAACTGGAGATCATGGGGTTCTGTGGGACGGTCGCCTTTATGGCTTCTGGGGGACAGAGACCGATTGCGGCCCTGCAAGATGGGAGTTCAACAGAGGTGCCAGGTGAGTAGCGTTCTTTGGTGCTTGAACCTGGTAAGATTATATTCCTTGTATAAAATACTATACCCAAAAGGAGGATATAATCTTACTCACTGGGCACCATAGTATCCCCAAATAAAATACTACTCGGTTAGGGTTTAGGGTTTAGGGTGTCGCTCATGCCCTCCTTTGCGAAGCCGCCAGACCTGAGGCTTCGGCCCAAAAGTGGGGTCGGGCCCTCAGTTCTCTTAAAAGCCGTGAATGGTTTCAAGGAAAGCTGCTTCTGGCAGCCTACCCAGAAGATGCCCGTGCAAGGGGCTTTGTATTAGATGCAGCTCCTCAAGTAGAGCATCAGCAGTTTTCTGGAGCGCCGGGTGACGTACCCTCCAACAGTATGTAGCCTGGCCCCTACACCCTAATCCCTAAACCGTCTCTGGAAGCCTTCCGGAGAATTTGTGGGCTTCGGGTTTGGGGGGTTTTGTGTTCAGGGCAGCTCTGATGCGCCCGGGGCTGTGGCGGCAAGGTTGCGCTCCATGGTCCAAGTACCCAATAATTAGGTACTTAGTTGGGTAATAACAAATATAGTATAGGTATTGGGTGAGTATATGATTGCTAGGTACTTGAACCCTAATCTGCTCCACTCGCGGGGGTTGAGGTAGCGCAGATTATTGCTTAAGGGCATAAAGGGAAGAATGACCCCTAAACGCTAAACCCAAAAAATTGATGTATCAGGTGCCTGGAAGATATTTTTAAGGAAATGTTGTGTGGGTATTTGGAGATGGGATTACATTGATTGCCTACGTGCAAGCGGCCCCGTTTGACTGTTTGCCGTGTTTGTCTGCATGCTGTTCGTGGGGCGGAGACTGGCTTGCACAATGCCTTCCCAAAGGGTCCATGTAGTCCATTTAGGGTTGAGGATTGTGGTCTATACTTAGGGCCCGAAGAGGTAGTAGTCCATGTATATAGGTAAATAGTATATACTTAGGGCCCAGAAGGGTTGTAGTCCATGTAGGTATAGAAAGTATATACTTAGGGCCCAAAAGGGTTCCCGTATACCTACCATAAGGCCCAAGTATATACCATATATCTGCATGAACCCTTATGGGTTGATTCGTTTACCAACACCTCGTTCGAGATTCGAGAGATAAGAAAGAGAAACACAAAATGTCTCAAGGCTGGAGAGACAACTACATGGTTCCGCACAGGCACCCTAAACTTATATATGGATAGGCTAACTTATACAAGAGCAGGGGAAAGTATCAAGTACGCCGAAATGCCAAGCTCAACTTTTCAAGTGTGCATTATGGAAGTGGATGGCAGGTGTTCTTTAAGCCCAAGGTGCGTTACTTGCTTGCTTGCTTGCTTGCTTGCTTACTTACTTACTTACTTACCCCTGAACCCTAAACCCTTAACCCTAAGCCCTAAATCCTGTTCCGGCTGGCTGCTCCGTTGGAATACAGGGCTAATGTAGAAGCCGAAGCAATGGGTTGAGGGTTTCTTGGTTTTTGGGTTCCGGGTTTCAGGGCTTAGGGCCGGGCTTTAGGGGCCTGGGGTTTAGGGACATTCGTCCAATGTTGGAGAATCAGCTGGAAAAGAAAGTGGGTCATGAAATGGACACTGCATTTATATAGTGACTTCTAAGGCTTTAAACACTCAGAAATGTCATTTGAAAGTTTACTTAACTTGAGCTACCCTATACACGAATGTAGGACCATAAAAAGGGTAATCACCCCTGAAATCCACATAAACGCTGAAGCCAAAACCCCAGTGTCCATTTAACTTTTCCATGGTCTTTCCCATTTGTTTCTCCATGCTGGGGATGAGAATACCCCCCGAATCCCAAACCTTTCGGGATCGGGTTTAGGATTTAGGGTTCAGGGGTTTAGGGATTTTGGGTTTAGGTCAATGAATAATGCCTACTTCTGGGCGGTTTCCCCAAGTTAGGGATACCTTTTGGGGGGTCCCCATAACAAGGACTATCATTTTTGGGGGTCTATGTTGGGGTCCACCTATTTCGGGAAACTACCACTTTGGGCCTTTTGGTCTAGCAGTAATACTTAGTACTTACTTTGGACCCTGTAGTCAGAAGTCGTCATAAGCATTGCCTTGTTGGGCCTCAGCCCTAGAGCCCTAAAGCCCTAAACCCCAAGCCCCTAAACCCTTGAAGTTAGGTTTCATGGTGGGCTCCATTGGGTGCCTATGGAGGGTTTCGTGCGCAGGGCTTCCTCGAGGGAATGACATTGCAGGCTTGTAAGGACGATTTTCACCTGGATGGGCGTCATTACCTTTGGTTTGGGCATGAATGCACTGCTCACCGAATCCCATTGAGGATGTGCTCTCGGCATGGATGCTCTGGCGCTTCAGATTGCCAAGCATTTCGAGGAGTGCATACCAATAGGTAGGATCCAAAGTGTGCACGGTGTGGCTCGAGCACCTGGACTCGAATCCCCAAAGCTACAGCCATAGTTTTGCAAGGCAGCCATTCCCGAAATAATTGTCATTATTGTCTAATAAGAATCGGCTGTAATCAGCTTATGGGTACCCTGAACTTGCAAGTAACCCCTGAACCTTCACCCGGGGGCTCCAAGTCTTTGGATGATCCCTAGTCTTGGGTTCTGGTTTTCTATCCAGCGCCTTATGGCCCCTAACATCTCGGGGATTCCCAAACAGGACCATAACTTCGTCAACCCCCAAAATAAGACCTGCTTTCCCCTAACCCTAACCCTATAGCTGGTTCACCGCGCCTGAAGCGCCCCGGTGGAAGCAAGTAAGCACAGGCCTTGGATATAGGGTGAGTTTGAGGCGCATGGGCTCAAGCAAGCGATACTAAGCATCTATACAATGCAGAATAAGGCATCTAGACTCTAAACTGGTAATATGACTAGGGGTACCATCCCACATACGTGTATTTGGGAGCCTTTGACGTCCCAACTGCTCACAACTGGGTTAAGACCTTGCTGCTAAATGCGGTAGCTAGGGATTAAGAGCTTACGGTTTAGGATGCAGGGTTTGCGGATCATGGCTTAGTGTTCCCTAAACCCTACACTTTAAACCCTACACTTAAAACCCTACACCCTAGACCCTACACTTTAAACCGTAAATCCTAAACCCTACCCTACACTTGAAATCCTGAATCCTAAGCATTGGGGTTGAGGCCCAGGCTGGACCATCCTCCGGCCCGAACCCCAAAGCTTCAGACTCCCCCGTGGCATGTGGGGAAGAAAACCCACGCGGTTTAGGGTTTAGGGTTTAGGGTAGAGGGTAGAGGGCCGGATTACTTTAGATTTGGGTTGAGGGGTCAGGGTTTAGGCAGACGCCCTGCATTTACGGAAATCTCTCTGTATTCTTGTCGGCCCGGTAGTTTATCTTCCTGAGTTTGACTCCAGACGGAACAATGGAAGAACCGGATCTAAATGAGAGGTTGGATCACACGTCTATTCCCGTCTGGGTGAATTTACGTCCTACTCTTCAAGGAGTTGCTGTTGAAGTTAAAGTCAAGTGCGGACGTGGCAATGTCAGGGACCGTCTCGAGGCATCATGACATTATCTAGCCTTCGGTAATGGCCATGGAGAAGCTTCTACTGTTGATGAAAGCGACTCCATGCCATAATTGCACTACATGCTCTACTTGCAGGGGCGGGTTACACAAAACCAAATTACACGTGTAGATATAGCCCAAGAATAATAATACCATGGGATTGGGCTGCTAGATGGGCTATAATCTAAACTCCTAGTATCCCCATTCATAAGCCCTGTAATACTCCCCAATAATTATCCTCTGTATAACCCCCCTTTTAAGGTGCTTAGACCTTAAACCCTAAATCCTAAACCCCAAATCCACAACCCTAAGCCCTACATCCTCGCCCCTACACCCTAAATCCTAAACCTTAAACCTTAAATCCTAAATCCTAGACCCCAGTCCCTAATCCCTAATCCCTAACTTCTACCTGGAAAACCATGGGGTCCTGTTTTACTGGAACACTGTCTGATAGTAGGCTATTCTTGAATCCACTTTGAGGAAAGGCTGCTGTTCTTGGATCCAAGATGAGAAAAATGCATGAACCCTGACGTCTAATCATATTCCCTACCCTCCATAGAGAAATCCGAGAGCCCGCCTGATCATGTAAACTTCATCTCCGTGATCGCGATACGATTTGTGCCCGGGGCTTACACAACTAGATTGGAGAATGCGTATGAGCATCAGGTCCCATTAGTTGAATTCCCAAGCGATTCCGGCCCAGGCTGAGACAAACATGGAAATCTACCGTTGGAAGAGGACGACGGTTGTTTTTTCTGGCAAGTTGGGATTCAACATAAGCATTGTCACCACCTTAGCGCAAGATTGAGACGATGGCGTTGAAGGGTCCTCTGGCTCACGGTCCCAATAGAGACTTGCCTGCTTTGACAGCTCACTTTCCCGATGAAATCTTCATCCATTTGGCAAGAACTTACCAAGATATTCAGGCTTGGTGTCTGATTTCTGTGCGTACGGTACATGTCGTGAATAACGTGCGCGAACATGTGGATCTTCGGCGGCATCTTAAATCTCGGTTTCGTCACGGTGTACATGGCATAATGTGTTACCCTGTCGTGGGCGTCCATAAACTTCATTCCGTGAGTAGCCGACACCTTGGCATCTCCAGGTTGAATCCAAAGAGGCTGACGGTAGAGCATGGAAAGGAAGTCATTGATTTCGCATAACCCTTTGTAGTTGGATTCCACATACGCCTCGTGCTCTTCCGAGTCCGCCAGTACACCAGCATACTTGTATTGCAAAAAACTGCAAAATACCCGGAAATGCTGGAATGCACACCCAGCCGAATTAATTACTCTATATAATCCCTGTAGTCTCCTTTTTCTTTTCCATTATCCCCATATAATCCCAATATATACCCTATAATCCCGCAGCCGATAGCTTCGGGATTCTATTGCTGGGCTGGTCCTGCGAATTTCAAGATCTCCTCCCTTGAGCCCTCCAGCCCCAAATCCCAAAGCCTGGCTTCTACCTAAAGCCCAAAGGTATGCAAAGCAATGGCCTTTATGGCTGTTATGATGAATTTAGGGCAATTATTTTACATACTTTTGGGGTTAAGGTAGGTCCTTCAGGGAATTGAGGCTTTAGGGTTTAGGCATTTCGTGGTTTAGGGTTGCAGTTTTGGGCGGTTTAGGGTTTAGGGTCTGAGCATGTTGATTCTAAAGTTGAAGCCATGGGCTCGTAGTATGTGCCCTTAGCCCTGGGATCCTCATGTACCTGGTAGTATATACCCGGTATGTACGGTTAAGGACCCCTAGATTCCTACCCTAAAAGGCTTAAGAGCCCATATCAGGGGCCCATACTTCTGACCTTAGGCTAAGCCATATCCCCAACCCCAACACTAATCCGAGAGCTCTGCCAATAAGGATGACCCTGTAGGAGTCATGTAGTGCTTCTTTTTGCAACAAGATATGGGTGGTTATCAATATTATGGTCCCTTTTTGGGTCTCTATTATAATACGGCCCCTAATATTTAGGGTACCCCAAAAAAGACCATAATTTTGACAACCACCCATATACCTTTTTTTTATCTCATCGCACCGAGGCCTAGCCAAAATCAGCTGAGGTCCATACAAAGAACTGCGCGCATGGCTGCAACCGAGCCTGCTGAGACTATACGCCCTGAAGCTTTGTCTTTTGGTCTCTGTGCCCTCAGTTTCTGTGGAGCCTCGAAAAATTGTACATGAAGCTGTTAAAAGACAATCGATGATTTCCGAGGCCCTGTCGACATGTATGTCATTGGCTGAATATGGCTTTAATGTGTCGTGGCTTCTGTGCTGACGTGGCAGAACTGCGTTGAGCATCGAAAAAATGACCCTGACAAACCAATTAGAGTTGCCTCCATGATGGATTACTGCCCGGGGGTGTGTATAGAAATCTGTTGACAAATACTGAAAGCCCTGTTGCACCTTAGTATACTACTAGTATACCACACCAGTCCCAAGGCACTTAAGGACATGCAGGATTATACATACATACATATATTTATCTATATATTTATATCCCATCAAGTCTTTTTACAGACACTCTGGACCTCGAACCTCGAGCCCTAAATCCTAAGCCCTGCCTTGCATAGATAACCTGGGTAAACTGCGTTGCCGTTTAGGAATTCAGATTAAATTACGGTACTGGGCATATATAGGAATGAATATGGTTTCTGCAAGATATTCAATCAAATTCCTTAACAACAACCCTGTGTGCGGGCTGTGCGGGTGACTGGCCGTACTTTTCTCGAAGACAGGATATGCTGTGAAAGCCTACTTCGCGCTGCATGGGACATGGTAAACATTCAAATGATTCAGTGCACGGCTTTAAGGTGTGGGTTAGGTCATTCCCCCTTTCAGTAACAGTTACCACACAAGGTAATAATCAGGAGTTACAACGCAGCCCGTTGACAAAGCCCCTTTAAGGACCATTGCTGGTAATCAGAAGGGTTTAAAGTTTCATAAGAGCCCTAAACCCTAAACCCTAAACCGCGAGGTTGAGTTTAGGGACTCATAGTCGGGGGCTGAGGATATCTATAGGCTCATGGGACGCAGTGCCTACCTATATATTCCAGGGGATGTAACCCTACATGTAATTGCTTGTGGGCTTTTAACCCTACTTATAATTGGGGTAACCCCTATAAGCCCATTTAAAGGGATTATAAGTAGGGTTATAAGTCCAATTATAAGTAGTTACTAAGTCCCATGGGCCTCCAAGTGGGGCAACCAACATAATTGTCCACTTTAGGGTGGGCATATGTAAGGCTACAAGCCCAGTTGTAAGCGGCTACTGGGTAAACTTGTACGCAGCTGGAACAAAAACATAACCCAAATAAGCAATACCTAAAGACATACCACAAGTCTAAGCTTTTGGCTCCAGGCTGTAAAGTGAACGGCGGAATTACGGTCCAACGAGCAATTTTCAAGCAAGGAATTCCAAAGCTTGTGGGCTTTCTTCGTGAGGCATGATCATCAGGAACGTGACTTGTCGGATATTGACTTGCGGGTAAGCAAGAGCGGACCAACATATTTCAAATATCATGTACAAGAACTTATATGTCATGAAAAATGAATTCTCCGAGCTGCGGTTAGGCCTGCGGTAGCGCGTTAGACCCACCTTTGAGGCTTCGGGTTCGCAATGCTGCCCGCACACCTAAAGGAAAAACATTCCCAAAGAGTTTATGTGGCTACATAGTCTATACCAGCCCTAAGTATATACTATATTCATACAGACTCTTTGGCCCTAAGCCCTAAAACCTAAACCATAATCATTGGGGCAAGTAACGCAAGCCCAGGTTGGGTTAGGGTGAGCTGCAGGGCGGTCCCTTAGCATCCTTCTACAGCTTCTTAGGGTTTAGGTTTTAGAGTTTAGGCTTTAGGTGTTCGGGTTTAGGGTTTAGGTTTTAGAGTTTAGGGTTTAGGCTTTAGGGTTAGGGGCTTAGGGTTGAAGTTTTAGGGTTTAGGGGGAATAAGGGAATCAATTACTTAAGGGTTCTACAGGGATTCAACTCCCTTATTCCCTACTAATCCCCAGAATGGCTTTTCATGCTTGCTGGGATTTTCTGTACATGCAGCCTTGGGAAGCCAAAGCCAAAGCCCAAGCCTTTACCACTTCATCCAGGGTAAACCACCTAAACCCCAAACCCTTAACCCCAAAGCCCTAAACCCCCAAAACCCAGAATGCCAACCTGCGAACTGTAAGCCCTGGGATTATTGTAAACACGGAAATCGAAAGATTCGATTGAAACATGCACATGCTGATGGAACTTGCCAAATCAACCCTAATCCCTACCCCCAAAATAGTAGTTTCCATTATCCCGGTAAAACTCCAATATAACCCTAATATTACTCCCAGGGGTACCCTCAACCTTCAGGGTTTTGGGTTTCAGGGCACTCTTGTATGGATCCCTAGGAGGCATGTTTGCAGGAAACTAAATAAGATTTAGGGTTAAGGGTTTAAGGGGTTTGGGTGTGCAGAAAATGCCCGCACGTCGATTTAGATCTTTCAGCGTGCACTGTCTTCATTCCATTCGCGCAGACAAGCATATCTCGATGGTGACCACAACAATTTGGGTATGCCGGATGGTGCCCGATTTCCTCCACGAATGACTTCATTCTAAAAGGATGTTGGTGGGACAGTTGAAGCGGTGACGTTGAACATTTAGGTCCGCATCCCCCAGGGTCCAAGTACTTAAGAATCATATACATACCCAAAATCTGTACTACAATTACCCACATCCCGAGTACCTGATTATCGGGTACTTGAACCCTTTAGCCTTAACCATAAACCATACATATACACACAAACACATATATCTATATGTATATATTTATGTATATATATATCCCTATGTATGCCTCACAAATATCCCTCTATACCCCCTTTAAAGGAACCTAATTATGTATGTTCTGTCTCTTTTTTTAACTGGTCCCTATGATAATCCCGCTTTTTCGTCCAAGCGCGTGCTGGGAACGAAGGTCCAACCTGCCTTTCCGGAGTGCTTAAGGTTTGGGGTTCTAGGGTCACAGGGCTTAGGGTTATGGATTTTGAGGATTTCAAACCCTAAACCCTAAA